ATGGCCAGGAAAAAAGCTAAACAAGGGAGTTAGATTCAAGGATCTCTTTCTGAAGAAACAAAGGGGGGTATAGTATAGTATAAAAATAATGAGATAAAAGGGTAGATTGTTGAGTCTACTTTTGAAGAAAAACTAGTCTCAAAATTTTACATTGTTATGGATTTTTGTATATTGATACAAATTTAAGGTTATTATTGTTATACTGTGGTGATATTGTGTTCCCCAAAATATTGTGCACTCTAATAAACTTATCTGGGGTCAGAGAATATGGATCTCTGTGAGTTTAAAGCCACACTGGAAACAGCCAGGCATGGTGACTCACGCCTTTAATCCCAGGAAGTGAGCCTTTAATCCCAGGAAGTGATATTAGAAAGCAGAAACGTATATAAGGCGTGAGGACCAGGAACTAGAGCTGGTTAAGCTTTTAGGTTTTGAGCAACATTTCAGTTGAGATTCATTCTAGATGAGGACTCAAAAGCTTCCAGTCTGAGGAAACAGGATCAGCTGAGGAACTGGCAAGGTGAGGTGGCTGTGGCTTGTTCTGCTTCTCTAATCTTCCAGCATTCACCCCAATACCTTGCTCCAGGTTTATTTTCATTAATAAGACCTTTCAAGATTCATGCTACATTATACTGTATACATATTTCTATTCTTGTTTAAGGTATTGTACCTATGCAGCTCATTTTAAAAGGTTATGTAGGGCTGGAGAGATGGCTCAGTAGTTAAGAGCACTGACTGTTGGTCCAGAGGACCCGGGTTCAATCCCCAGCACCCACATGGCAGCTTACAACTGTCTGTAACTCCAGTTCTGGGGGATCTGACACCTTCACACCAATGCACATAAAATAAAAGTGAAATAAATTATGAAAAATAAAAAAAAGGTTATGTAAAGTTTTAGTCTTTAAAAGCTATTTAGGGTCAGGCAGTGGTGATGCACACCTTTAATCCCAGCACTCAGGAGGCAGAGCCAGGTGGATCACTGAGTTCAAGGCCATCCTGGTCTACAGAGTGAGATCCAGAACAGGCACCAAAACTACATAGAGAAACCCGGTCTTGGAAAAAAAAGCTATTCAGGATAATAAATAAATACAGGTTAGTACTTAGTCATCTATAATTATCAAACTTATAGTCATGTTGGATATGTTTTCAAGTCATATAGAGGTATATTTTAGATAGATAGGTGATCTTCAAACACAGAATATGGCATTTAAAATGTTTTAATAGCCGGGCGGTGGTGGCGCACGCCTTTAATCCCAGCACTCGGGAGGCAGAGGCAGGCGGATCTCTGTGAGTTCGAGGCCAGCCTGGGCTACCAAGTGAGTCCCAGGAAAGGCGCAAAGCTACACAGAGAAACCCTGTCTCGAAAAACCAAAAAAATAAAAAAATAAAAAATAAAATAAAATGTTTTAATAACATAAGGCTTTTCTTGACAATGAGATATGTCTGCTCCTGGCAGCACCAATCTACTTCAAAAAAGGATGATGGCCATCAAAGAACCTCCAGCTGGAACTTACTTTCTTTACGGCAAAAGCTAGCCATTTAGTCAAGAAACTGCCCTTGCCTCGACTGCTGACAGTATGCTGTCCAAACTGGGCCAGCAGGACACAAAGAAAAGCAACTGCTGAACATTGCCAAGACAGGGTAGGATGGTCCTTCAAAAATTCCTGCTTCATAGAAAAGTCTGTCAGATATTCTAGACCTGTAGGCCAAAGATGGGTGCCCCAATGTTGCACAGGAACCGTGGGTGACTGTCCAGCAGCCAGCTGTTTTTTGTCATTTCTTTTATTTTGGAAGTTGCTTGCTCTGCACTTCCTGTTTATTCAGGTAATAGTATATCCTCCTGGGGTCTTTGATGGAATTGAAGACGAGCAGTTATAGCTTTCCTTAGTTATGATAAAAGGTAGATTAGGTACAGAACTTTGGACTCACCAAGACAGATAAAAAATAGAGTATTTTCTCCAAATATGCAGAATAAAAATGGACTGGACATTGTAAATGTAATTACATCTGTCTTCTCTATGGCTAATTCCTTTCAACTAGTCACTGGCTTCACCCTCTGATCCAAGGTTAATTTTATTTTTTTTTTGGGGGGGGGAGGTTTTGAGACAGGGTTTCTCTGTGTAGCTTTGGGCCTGTCCTAGATCTCGCTCTATAGACCAGGCTGGCCTCGAACTCACAGAGATCTGCCTGGCTCTGCCTCCCGAGTGCTGGGATTAAAGGCATGCGCCACCACCACCTGGCCAAGGTTAATTTTATTAACATAGTCTTGGAGTTTCACAGTGCAATCAAATATCCTGCAACACTTCACCATAGGGGGCCAACCTGTAAATTTTCTGCTGGACATGGTGCTGCTGCTCATTAGGTATTACAGGAGTCCCTAGGACCTCTTACCAACCAAACAGTGGAAGTACAGAGGGCAACAGGGGATGTCAAAGAAAACAAATGGACCATTGACCAGACTGTTAACCTAGGACAAGGACCTGTGACTCATTCTTTTATTGTTATTCCTGAATATCCCTACCCTTTATTGGGACAGGAACTCTTGAACAAACTCCAGGCAACAATATAGTTTTCAGGAAATATTCCTAGGTTGCAATTGGGAGGCTCTGCTAAGGCTATATATTTATATCCTGTCCAATAAGTGTAAAATATCTGCTCCTCCAAAATCCAAACTATTCCCTGGAAGGAGAATGGAAAAAGTTATTGATCCAGGAAATTCCTACAGTTTGGTCAGAGGACAATCCTCCTGGCTTAGCAAAACATATGCCAACATCATAGTGTAACTAACATCTGGGGCAATGCCCATTTGAGTCAAGGAATGCCCCATCAGTCAGAAGCCGAGTGGGGACTAAGACTCACATCAAGTGCTTCTTTGAAGCGGGCATACTTATTTCTTGCCAGTCAGCCCAGAATACCCCTTTGTTGCCTGTCCAAAATCCTGGAACTTGAGGCTATAGACCAGTGAGGAAAGTGAACAAAAGGGTAGAATCCATTTACCTGACTGTTCCAAATCCCTACAGTTTGCTCAGCTCATTACCAGCAGAGCATATTTACTGGAATGTGCTGTTCTAATATCTCTGACTTCTCTCATGTTATTGACAACCAAACTGATGACCTACGTAAAACATAAAATCTCGCAAACTACCCATCAGGTAGACAATGCTAGAATCATTGCCACTGGACATTATTAAGACATCCCCTATCAAAGATTTGACAGGGAAACGTAAATGGGGGGGGGGGGGGGGAGGCAGTGGTGATGAGGAACCTGCCTGACTCCATTTTGAAGGCAGGAGCCATTATGCTGTATTGTTAAGTAAGTTTCTATTTACTGTAAAAGCTGAGTTGTTGTTTTTGTCTGTTTCCTGGAGCCTGACCTGCCCCAACCCATGACCTTGACTTATTTTTGAGAATACTCTTACCGTCCCTGTCCCTCTCTAATCACCCTCCCTAAACACATGGTCACCGAGTGGTGGGGTTTTTTGTTTTTTGTCTTGAGATTTTCTGTATTTCTTTATTGCCTCGTTGTAGGATAATCTTTTTGTATACTCTGATGTGTCTGTTTTACCTCATTTGCCTAAGGCACCTTCTGATTGGTTTAGTAAAGAGCTAAACTGCGAATAGCTAGGCAGGAGAGGGTAGGCAGAACTTCCAGGAAGAGAAAGGAACTCAGGGAAAGAATCTGGCGCATGGGATTCCACAGCAAGATGCAGAGGAATTTAGAAGTACTGTACTGAGAAGTAGTGAGCTATGTGGCAGAATGTAAACAATATAAATTGGTTAATTTTTTGTTGTTGTTTTTGTTTTTCAAGACAGGGTTTCTCTGTGTAGCTTTGCACCGTTCCTGGAACTCACTCTAGCCCAGACTGGCCTCGAACTCACAGAGACCCTCCTGCCTTTGCCTCCTGAGTGCTGGGATTAAAGGGATGCACCACCACTGCTCAGCCTGGTTAAGTTTTAAGAGCTAGTTGGGAGCAATCCTAAGGTAAGGCCAAACTTTCATAATTAATAAGAAGTCTCTGTGTCATTATTTGGGAGCTGGTGGTCCAAAAGGACCTGCTTACTACACTCCATTGTCTCCCTTCTGTAAACCTGCTTTGCAACTACTTATGATTTTACTCCTTACGAGGGCCCGAGAAATGGATTTGGGGCTGCTCTCCTTAACCGGACTTAGGAGGCACTCGCTGGCCAGCTCTTGGGTGTATCCCAGTAAAATCAAGCTTGCTTCAAATTTGGCTCAAAATTGTGATGATGATCTTATTCTTTCCCAATGTAATTAACACTTCTCTCAGATGTTTCTCACTTCCCCACTATATAGCAATAAAAAGAGCATTTCATCCCTTTTCCAATGTGATAAGCCGGTTTTACAGAAGGTAGCTGTTAATGCTTCATGGCCCATTATGCTATTCTTATCTCATCTGCAGGGCACTAGCATCTCCAAAGCATTCCAGAGCAAAGTCAATGGTCCTTAAGAGATGCCTGGCTCCTTATTAAGTTGCTTGAGTCATCACAGGGGGCCTGTGTAAACTATTACTCAGGTCTGAGCACTCTAATGACTGGGATAAAGTAATTCATTTCTGGGCAAGCAAAAACACAGTGCCATCAGGTTAGGGCTGGCTTTCACATCCTCACATATGTCTGCATACCACGTACATGCCTCGTTCCCTAGAGGTCAGAAGAGGGCATTTAATCCCCTGGAACTGAAGCTACAGTTGTGACCCACCTTGTAGGTACTGAGATTTGAACCCAAGTCCCCGGAAGAGTAGCCAGTGCTCTTAATTGATGACCATCTCTCCAGACACCCAATATTGTTTTTAAGACAGGCTCTTATTATTATTAACTTTGGTCGGCCTAGGTCTCATTATGTAGAGCTGGCCTCAAACACACAAAGATCCACCTACCTCAGCCACCTGAGTTCTGAGATTAAAGGTGTGTGCCACCACATTCAACTGTTTTACAAGTTTTTTAAATGCATGATATATGTATAAAGTAAATAAAATTACCTTTACAAATTGGAGAAAATGTGAAACCAAAGGAAGCTGGTATTGCTGTGAGGTATCCACCAGAGAAGACTCCTTGGACATGGGTTTAAGCCAATAGAAGGTCTTTATTAGCTGGCTTCTGACTACAATGGGTGTTCAGGACCCCCGTGCAGTGCTGAGCCTTTCTCAAGGTGAGATTTAAAAACAAAAACCATACCCTGAGTTGGCACACCTTAGTTAACAAGAACAGTTAGCCAGAAGCCAAACTACAGAAACCAAAAAGCAAGGTCAGTACATTTAGGAACTTTCCAGTCTATGGAACTTTGATGGATTAGATCTTTGTTCTCTTTTTTTTTCTTTTCAGCAGGTGTTGCTGCCTACATACATGCTGAGTTTCAAGGCCTGAATGGTGTTTCCATTATGTCATTAGTTGTGGAATAGTATGGTGATGTCTGATAACTCTTTCTCAGTTTGATTTTTTTTTTTTAAGGCAAGGTCTATCTCATGTAGCCCAGATGACTTCCAATACTTCACTAAAGTATTCTTTAACTCCTGATGCTCATGTCTCTATCTTAATCTGAGTTCTGGAATTATGGATGTGCAACCTCCATACCTGGTCTCTTCTCAGCTCTTCTTGAGACAAGGTCTATGTATCCCTGGTTGTCCTGGAATTCAATATGTAGACCAGGCTGGCCTTGAACCTACAGAGATACACCTGCCTCTGCCTCCCAAGTGCTGGGATTAAAGCAGGTGCCCCCCCCCTTGAGGTAGATATAATTATATCCATTTTACAATAGAAAAATCCCAAGGGTCAGGTGTTTAAAAAAAAATAACCAGTATCTCACAGCAGTGAAAATACAGACATTTCCCACCCAGAACGTCTATTTACAAACCCAATGGTTATAGTAACCTAGTTGATTAATCCAGTCACAGTAACATGTTAAAGAATTTACAGTCAGGAGGTAGTGCAGACCTTTAATCCCAGCACTCCGGAGGCAGAAATAGGCAGATCCCTGAGTAGGAAACCAGCCTGAACAGTGAGAGGTACATAGAGAAACCCTATCTAAAAACAAACAAACAAACGAACGAACGAACAAAAACCCACCCAGTCCTTGAGGTGGGGAAGGAGAAGTGCGCCAGGGCAACACCAGAAACGCTATAGGCAATAGAACACCAAAGCACTAGACTTCTAGAACCAGGTATTGAGGCTTGCAAGCTTGTTCCCCAACGGAAGTGGCCTTGCTGTGCACTTAGGCTTGCAAACCTTGCAGCGGTAACCCCAGCCCCCAGGCTGCGCCGCCCTTATTAGGGCTCTCCCGCTTCCCACCAGCCTGAAGTGTGTGACGCCTAAAAACACTTTAAAGTAACCCTCCTAAAATGTGCCTCGGGCTTTTTCCTAAGAAAAGAGGTGCCGTCAACTTTGACCCCTTATCAATCACAGCCTCGGCCTCCCGCAGATTAAGCCAGCGACCTTTCCCTTTCTAAGAACACTGACTTTCCATATTATCCACCCCCGCACAGGCAAAGTCACGGCACCCCGATAAGGACGTTAAAGAAAACCACCCAGGAATAAATCCCCGATTTTCTCAGCCGAGACGCTTCAGGGACGAATCCTGTGACAATCACAAGGCTTTTCTCCGCCCAATCACGGACGGGAACCTCGTGACCCCGAGCACCGCGCAAGGTTGCCTTTGGAAGCTCGGAGGCGGAGCCGCAGGCCCCGGCTCCCTCGGTCGTCCCCGACAGCCCGCGCGTGCGCAGTGCCTCGCCTCGGGATTTCCTTCCCGCCGCTCACACTAGGAAGCCAAACGCCAAATCTGTCCCCGCGTAGCCGCCGCTGCCGGGACGCCCGCCCAGCCCGAGGCGCGCCTGCGCACGTCCCCACGCACGCTCCGGCGTACGGCGGCGGCCAGGGGTCGCGAGCCGGTGGAAGACCCGCGCGCGCGGAGCAGCCCGGGGAGTCGGCGCTTCTTTCCCTCCCTCCCCCCCATTCCCCTCCCCGCTCCCTTCCCCCCTCCCCAAGAATGTTCCGCTACGAGGTGAGTGGCTGCGACCGGAAGTGACCCCTCCCTCGCCCGCGCGCCCCTTTTTCTTCTGCCGCCCGCCGCGTGGGTCCTGTTCCGCTGAGGAGGGGGGCAGGGCACGGGCGGCTGGGGACCCCGCATCGGCCGTGGGGCTCGGGCGGGGCCCGGAGCGGACCTCAGGGGGCGGGACTGCCGAGAGCCGGCCGCTGGGTTGCGGCGGGGAGGGCCCGTTAAGTGCGGTAACCTGACCCTACACTTGCGCCTCCGCTCCCGGATCTGCCGAGGTGATTAGCATTGCTCCTACCCGGTTGCTTTTCCTGAGGCGAGATCCCCGAGGAATGCCCACGGAAGAAGCTTTTCCCGCCCTGCACTCGGAACCCCCTCGCCCCTGTTACACACACCCCTATGCACGCGGGCAGCCGTCAGGTGGAAGGGCCGGGACTGGCCTTTTGGCTGAGACTTTAGTCCACTTGTAAAGAAGGCTCGGCGTGGGGAGGGGGGCGTGTCCAGGGGAAGTTTCTTCTGGGTGCGTGGAGGAAAGTGGGTTTGGTGACGTTGTCCAGAGAATGCCGCTGTTTGCTGACCGTCGCCCACTGCTGTGTGACCTTGAGCAACTCCTAATCTTGGGACGAAACAGATTCCGGATTTATAGTTTAAGGACTGAGCTAGGGAAATCCTTACAGAGCCATCCTGATTTGGTCAAGTAGACCGTTGTGATTACGTAGAGAACTGCTGGAAGTTGCTTCTGGTGTGGAGGCAGTTGCAGGGCTGGCTCTGTGGAAGTTTGAGAGGACTGTAGCGTGGGTAGAAAAGTTCCCAGGTGAGGTGTATCACAAGCCGTCCCACTAGAGTGTGGGATTCCAATTTGGAATCTTTGAACATTGAAAACAGGTAGGATACTTGATTTTACAACTTTTGACACAACTCACTTTGTATAAACATGAAGATGATGAGATACAGTGAATAGAAATTGCCAGAAGCAGGCCGGGTAGTGTGGCTCATGCCTTTAATCCCAGCACTCGGGAGGCAGAGGCAGGTGCATTTCTGTGAGTTCGAGGTCAGCCTGGTCTACAAATCGAGTTCCAGGAAAGGCACCAAAACTACACAGAGAAACCTTGTCTCAACCCCGCCCCCCCCAAAAGAAAAAAGAAATTGCCAGAAGCAGCAGTGGTGCATGCCTTTAATCCCAGAACTGAGGACTCAGAGGCAGGTGCATCTCTGTGAGTTCAAGGCCAGCCTGGTCTACAAAGCAGTTCCAGGACACCCGGAGCTGTTACACAGAGAAACCCTGTCTTGAAACAAAACAAAGTTGCCAGAAGCAAAGGAAACTTGGTAAACTGAATATAAACTGAAGTGGGAGGAATGACTGAAATTAGAATACACCAAGCTAATCTGGTGACGGTTTTATTTACTCGCTGGAAGGGGAGGCAGGAGGATCTAAGCCAGCCTGTACCTAGAGAAATAGTAGAACATACCCAAGGTATAATGGTGATTCTGGCTTTTATTCAGCATTCTACAGTCTTTGCCTTGTTTGGTCTTCACACAGATTTCTTTGAATCAAGTTGTATTTGGCTCAAAATTACAGTTTAAGGCCCTGAGGTTTAGTACCTAGCTCAGAGCCTGAGACATAGAGGCCCTCAAACGGGCCTACTATTTAAATTAATTTAAAAAGTGAGTTGCTGGGGCTGGAGAGATGGCTCAGTTGTTAAGAGCACTGGCTGCTTTCCACAAGACCCGGGTTCAATTCCCATCACCTACATGGCAGCTGACAACTGTAACTCCAGTTCCAGGGACCTGGCACCTTCACACAGACATACATGCAGGCAAAACACCAATGCACATAAAATAAAAATAAATTTTATTAAAAGGAATTTTTTTAAAAATTGCCTGTGATTAGACTGTTGCGTAAGAGTAGAGCAAGAACCTTTGACTTTTTCTGATATTCAACTTAATTGTGGGTGAAAATGTTTTGAGTTCTGCATTCTGGCTAGATTTAGTTCTACAGGAAAGAGGAAGAAAGATGGAAAGGGTTAGGTTAGGGTTAGAAAGGGTTGGGAAAACGACATGGATGTAATGAGGAAAATGTAATTTTGTTGAAAAAGCTATATTAAACTCACCACTATCTCGGCTAGTGGTGTAAAGGAATTGTGTGCTTATTTACAAAACGTCTTGAGATGTTATAGTCATTAAAAAGAAACAATATTAGGACTTACTTGAAATGATCACATAAATGTCTTGAGAAGTTAACTGTCTTTCTCTTTTTTTGTAGTCTTTAGAGGATTGTCCTCTAGATGAAGATGAAGATGCATTTCAAGGCCTGGGAGAAGAAGATGAAGAAATTGATCAATTTAATGATGATACATTTGGGTCAGGTGCAGTTGGTAAGTGACATCTTTCTTTTTATGGTGTCTGTTCATCTTATCAAGTGCTTTGGTCTTAGTAAAGTCAACCTCTAATTTGAATTTTTGTTGTTCTGTGTGTATTTGCATATGAGTATGGGTAAGCATGTGCTGGGGCTGTCTTGTGGAGGTCACAGGGCAGATTTCAGGAGTTTGTTCTCACATTACACCTTGTTGAGAAATGATCTCTTGTTTCTGCCTCAGAGCTACATATTACAGGCTAGGTGACCCAGAGACTGAAGTTATTCTTGTGTCTCCACCTCCTGTCCCAAAGTCGGAATGTTGGGATTACACACATGGACCCCGTGCATCCAGCTGTGCTCTGGGGTTCAGACTTAGGTTGTCAGACTTGTGCATGAAGTAGTTTTGGTTTTTCAAGACAGGGTTTCTCTGTATAACTTTGTAGCCTGTCCTGGAACTCTGTCTGTAGACCAGGCTGGCCTTGAATTCACAGAGATCCGCCTGCCTCTGCCTCCCAATTCTGGGATTAAAGGCATGCACCACCGCTGCCTGGTTAATGAAGTGGTTTTATCTACTGAGAAGGGCCTTCTTCCTGTCCTACTCTGTTCTTTATATACTACTACAACCTTCACTCAGTCATAGTGGTTTATCTGCTGTTCTGTTCACCTGGGCCTCTTTGCCTTACCTATAATAACAGGTAATCTCTTATGCATTGTAGCTCTAGGTTGCCAGTATAAGGAATTTAAATAATTGGAAAAGTAGACATTTAAATGATGTTGAAAATAATTGTAGATGAAGGGAGTGTTTGTAGAGCATGCAAAGAGAACTAATGGACTTGTAGAAAATTCAGTTTCTGTGTAAGACATGTTTTAAAATTCAGCCTACCACAATCAAGTGGAGGAAGGGAAGATGTTAAGTTCTAGGCTAGCCTGGGCTACATGAAAAAGAACCCTGTCTCAAAAAGGGGGAAAACATTCTAGACCATTGTAGCTGGAGAATTTTTCTCCAGCTCCCACCACCAAGTCCCGCCAGTCCCGGAGCCCACTTATAAAACAAACACACAAACTCTTACATTATTTAAACTGCTTGGCCATTAGCTCAGGCCTATCATTGTCTAGCTCTCACTCTTATATTCAGCCCATTTCTATTAATCTTTACTTTGCCACGTGGCTCGTGGCTTACCGGTACTTTACATCTTCCTTGTCTTGGCAGTGGCTCCAGCCGGTCTCCCTTTCCTTCCTCCTTCCTCAATTCTCCTCTCTCCTTGTCCCGCCTATACTTCCTGCCTGGTCACTGGCCAATCAGTGCTTTATTTATATCAAGCGATATCCACAGCAGACTATCACTAGTATATTGTATAATAATTTCTGCTGTCTCAAGGTTTCTTCAGTACAATGAAAACACTTTTTATACAAAGAATTTTGGTGATAGAATGCCTTCATGAGTTAATAAAAGTACTTAGAACAAGTTCGGAGTAAGTAAACTAACAAGCTAAAGTTTATGCTTTAAAAAAGAACACGTAGAGTATGCAGATGAGAACATGAAATGTAGATATTGCTGCTTTGGCTGTCAAGACGCAGCAGTAACAGTGTTTAGATTGGGGATGTGTGTAAATATTTCTGATTTCTTCAGAATTGCTGAAGTTCAGTCTGTGCAACAAGTGTTCCAAGTTAAATAATAAGAGAGCCAGGAAAAATAAAGCAGTAGTAGATGATCATAAGGTGTTCAGTATCAGAAAACTTTAAAAATGTTATAGTGGTTACTGGTTTTGCAATAATTTAAACAGCTTAAATTCTTCAAAGCTCACAAAGTTGAGTCAAGTGGCAAAAATGGAAAGGTTTGCTTCTGTCTACCATTTACAAAATTCAGTAGAAAACCAAAATTGTCACAAGGGAGAGCAACAAGAAATATGCTGAAAGTAGAAGCAATGCTTGGTAGAAAAGGGAATTAAAGAACTTTTGGAGGATAGCCAGAGTTCAGGAGATGAGATTGTCCAGGAGAATGACATGATCCAAGATGCTGTTGTCTGTCTCCATGGAGATAGCAAAGGAAGCTATGTAGAATAGAATTACAAGCACTGAGAAGTGATATGAATTGCAAATCGTATTTAGGAGGTAGTTTAGCAGTAACCCCTAAAATACAATAGAAGCTGCAAACAGTGTATATATACTTCTCTCTAGATTTTTCTATTATTTACTAGATTTCTAGATTTACTAAAATGAGACAGCATAATAATGTGTTCTCAATTTTGAACCTTGACAGAATGAATTTTGCCTCTCATTCAGAGTTTTGACAGGATCCCCACTTCCCCCTTATGTTTTTGTTTGTCATCACAAGATGACTTGAAAAGATCACTGACTTGAAAAAGACACTAGAATATGTAATCTATTTTGTGTGGTCGGGTGAATGTTCTTGGGGT